TATATATATATATATATATATATATATATATATATATATATATATATATATATATATATATATATATATATATATATATATATATATATATATATATATATATATATATATATATTTAATAGTGATAGGAGCGCTGGCTTAACTCCGTCCTCCTTAGCATCACAAAGATACAGAAAAAAAATGCTGCCTTGACTAAATTTATTTTCTTTTTCTGTACACAGGGAGAGGGAAAATGCCAAAATAATGATAGTTTGATTAGTAGTATCTTCATGCCTCTGGAGCTTTTTATTTTATTTTTTTATACATATACATAAACACAGTGCGGCCTCTAAATCTATCTCCCAAATTTGATTCAAGAATAAAAATATGCACTGACGATAGGATTATTGCCATTAAGACAATTGGACGTGTGCTTCTCCTGCTCCTGTTTATATGTATTACATCTCTATATTTATATTACAAATGTATAAGTAATCAGTACGCTACAAATGCTAACCCTAAATCACGAGGAAGGTTCCTGAAGCAAACTGTTACGCTTTTATTTAAACTATTGAACACAGTAATTGCATCCTTGAAAATTTGTGGTGTTCCACAAGGTTCAATGTTTGGACCTAAGCGTAATGTTCTCATTTTTCAATAAAAAATATTTTCTGCCCAAGTCAATGTAATAAAAGTACTATACTAAAAAAAAGGTACTATATTAAAAATATTAAAAATGTTATTGTGTTGGAACTATGAAACATTTTTGTTTTTTAGTTGTGCACATGATAATAAGAATAGTTTGTATTTTGTTCTTGTGCTAGCGTCTATGAGTCGACTTTGGATTCCTATATAAGAAAAGACACATTTTTGAAATTGTCACTGACTCTACACTCTTAAACAATGTACTTGATAGAACAGGCACACACAGTGGATACAGGGAAGCCTAGCGGCAAGTCCGTACAGAATAGCGTCACCAGTGTTAGCATTTGAGCTTAAATGTCTTTCGCTTCATATGCAGCGCTAAAAAAAAAATTTTAAAAAATCACTGTGAGTGTTAACTCAACTAGTCACTTCATTTATTTTTCAGGACTATTACAATCTTAACGTGCTAATGAAATGTAGCAGGTGCAATGGTAGCAGCAGTACTTTCCTAACCTAATTTTTAAGTATATTTGAGCGTACAAAGTCACATCAGTAAAAAAAAATTTGTCTAGCACATATGGTTCAGCGAACGCCCGAGGAGCAATTTAGCTGTGGTTGTTTTCGCACATCCTAAGTGGCCCATTCCATGTCCCAGGGCTCCCTAATGTCAATATCACATTTGGAAGTGAAAGAGTGATTCTGGGAAAAGGTCAGAGCAAAACCAAACACCAAGCATTGGATGACCAGCTGTCAGCTCTTCTCATAATGACATAAGAGTCCTGGAAAAGTGATGCGCGGGAGAGGGGGGGGTGGGGGGGGGGGGGGGGGGGGGGGGGGGGGGGACTATACAATGTACCGAGAATATCTTTGGCTATTCTTGGTACATTGTTTAGCTAGCATTTAGCTGTAACTGGGCTAATGTGTTATATGACTTACACTCAGTTTCGGTTGCTTTTTGTCCAACAGCCAACACTTTTCAGGCACGTCAGAGAGAGGTCACATCGCTCAACAGTCAAAGAAAGTGTCGCCATATTTCAATAAAACATTTCTTGCTAACAAGTAGATGTCGGAGTCTTTCGAGGTGATCAGGTCTGTGATGGTTGTGCAGGAAATTTCTTTCCTGCACAACGCGTTGCCAGCAACTGTTTAAAACGTCTGATTGACAAAGTAAACACACACAGAGAAATGGGATTTAGCGCAATATGTCCAGACACATGTTTCTTTGGCTGATGATGGCTGCTGTTCTAATCTATTATGGGATTCTCACAGAGAGAATCTATGCTGTCAGTTCCAGCAAAGCATTAACCTGACACTAACTTCTCCTGTAACAGGCTCAGACGATACGTCCCATCTGTCCGACAGACAGAAAAAGCATCATGAGTGACATGTTCCTGAAACGAGGATACCCCCACAGGAAGACTAATCAAATATGGCTTTTTTGACGATGTGTTTATTATTCTCATCAATAATGTTGTTGGTATAATAAATGACCAATACTGTACACTTAACGATCAGCTTATACACTTTGATCTTAGAGTTTTTAGTGTTTTTTATGCAGTATTCTCATAATCAGGTGTCACCTTGAAGATGGTCAGAAAAGGATGAAAGTTCAAGTAAAATACGGCAGGATATTTTGATGTATTGTTTTTTTGTTCTTGTTTTTTAAAAAAGGTCTAAAACAATATTTAAAGGTGAAAACAGCTATTTTGGCTATTACCAAGCTACAGGTATGAAAGCTACAAGGTTGATAAAAAAATGAAACTATTATTCAATTATCATTGAATATCAAATAGCTACAATATGTAAAAATAAAAATAAAAAAATAAAATAATGATGACGTTGTTTTTTTTAAACAGCTTTAAATGGACCTGCAACCATTTATGTTTCTGAGTCACATATTAGAATATACAAATACCTCCATTATTATCCGTTATTTGAAGATAGACAAGATAGACACGGCTGCTCTAGCTAATTCAAAAATGTCCCAGAACCTTTTTTTTAAAGATTGATTAATAAGGCAAAGTGTGAAAATGTTATATTTGTCCTGAGGGTGGCAGCAGAGGAGAAGAAGAGTACACTGTTACACTGTTGATGTTTTTGACAGATTGTCAGGTAAAGAAAATAGATTTTTTCATACTGACAGTTAGCTTTAAGGTTAGCCTAGCAACACCCAAATGTTAGCCAAAAATATATTGGCAAAATTTAAAAAGAAAGGGTTAATATTTAAGAATGAGAGTTCGAGATAATTTAATAAACAGCACATATATTTTTAAATAAGATAATTTTACCTAAATATCTGTGTAGGTGAAACATTAAAGTGTTAGCGTGAGGAGAGCTAAGCTAAAGTTGAGCCAAAGGTATAGATACAATAGCATTAGCTTAAAAAATCAAAGGGATAAAAACGAGGGTGTAAAAATTGAAAATACTACTTGGAACTACTAAAAAGTAACACAAAAATGACCCTGATTGGTCAAATTAATTACATTTCTAAACTAATGATTAACTCAGACTAGTAGCAAATATCTTTTATAGCTTAAAACCAGCTACAGGATATAACCAGCTCAAACTTCAAATTCAAATAATAGTTTAACACCATCAAAAAGCTGATTTTTTTTTTAAGTTGATCTGCAGTAGCCCAGATTATATATTTTTCTTCAACTGTGAATGTTTGCCCGCTGCAGACAAAGTGAAAGTCAAAGTGCATACTGAATGTTTGTGGAATGTTAGATTTTCTGCCATGGCCACTGGCTCACCATCAGAGGGAAACGTTTACTGTCAAATGTCTGTGTAGTTCAGATGGGTTTTTGCAAATGCACGTTTGGTGCCATCTGGTGACTCCTCGCTCTGAAGGGAAAGCATTTTAGAGGCGTTTCAGGCCAGTCCTATCTAATGTACGAAAGAGAACAGCTGCTTTAATTAGGTTTGAATCAGGATAATAAATGCATTACAAGTTGTTGGTTTTTTTACCTACTCTGACAGACTGTGTAATCTGAGGGATTATTGTCGCCAGGGCTACGCTGCATGGTGTTACATAATCTGTTTTTTGTGAGTAAATATCACATGAGTTCCTCCTCCCCCTCGCCTCCTCTCCCCTCCTCCTCCTCCTCCTCCTCTTCCTCCTTTTCTTTTTTGCTCCACTGGGAGCACAGAAATATGAGAGCCCAGACAGTGTGCTGAAATTTGTGACTGATGTGGGGAGAAATGTGTCACCACAGCCTTCACCTGCAGCAACAACAACCAACAATCAGTTGAGCAATGTGTCTGGGATGTGGCAGTTTCATTCTCAGCAAGTCAGAACATGAGCTTTTTCCATACGAGATCTTTATGAACAACTGCTCCAAAGGTTACCGCCGCCGCAGCAGCAGCAGCAGCAGAGGAAGAAGAAGGAGATTTTGAAATAAATGAGGAACAATGAACAGGACTTAGATGACAGGCGTGGCAGGAAATACGGAATTGGCTCAAACTGCTGTAGCGTGGTGTGCTAACTGAACAATGTATCTGGGAAATACGACCAACTTTAGACCATGAGTTGTTGATGCTTCACCACTGACAGAACCAAACCACATCAGAAACATCTGTCCACAGCTTTTCATCACAGAGTCCTTAAAAACGCCTCAACTTCTTCACATTAAATATATGTATTTAATCAGTCTGCGATGGTTTGCAACACCTACGGAAAACGGGAGGTACTGCAGTTAGCAGCATTGAACATTAAACGATGGCAAAGTCTTTGCAGGGATGGGGACTAAACTACATTTTTTTCTGCACTATAAGTCGCTCTTTTTCTCATCCTTTGGCTGGGTTTGCAACTTATACTCAGGTGCGACTTATATATTGAAATATATAATCCCACATATTTGTTATTTTCACACTGACAGCAACTAGAGGGCACTCTAGGCTTGTAGAGCAGTGTCTGCTACTCCTGTGCCACTGAATATGTACATGTTCGTTATTTGCACACTGACAGCCACTAGAGGGCACTGGTGCGACTTTATACTCTGGAGCAACTTATATATGTTTTTTTTTCTTCTTCATTATGTATTTTCTGGCTGGTGCGACGTATACTCCGGAGTGACTTATAGTACGAAAAACACAGTAGTGATCTTGTTACTGTAGGACGAGGGTATTAAACACTTAAACCAAAAAAAACTTCCAAAAACAACTGACACAGTCAGTATCCTTCCATCCAAAAAGTGTACCTAAGACATTGTTCATTTTATATGAACAAAAAAGAATGAAGTTGATCACTTTTCTCTGTCTACTTTAGGTATAATATCTGAATAAAATATATTCTTCTTTTTTCGAAAGTGCACCAACTCTCACTGGTTAGTGTTTGGACTGTGCTCTGAATGCCCCGGTTTGGGATTAAATTTTCCAAGAGTGAGACTGTTTGTGTGGTTCACAGTGGACACGCCCTGACTTCTGCTGGAAGCAGCACTGTGAAGGCGTGATCACACCAGTGAGTTTCTCTGTGCAGGATCTGACAGAAAGGAATCAGCAGGACCTGGTTGTTTGAACTCCTGAAGGTGAATATTACCTTGATTTTGCTCATAGAAACTCTAATCCACTTATTCTGCAGCCTGTTAGTGGGAAGTTCATACTTTAGTGAAGGCTTTCAGACGGGAAAGTTGTGACATATTGAAGTTTCTGTGTGTTCACAGACCGTCAGCTCACTGTTTTCTTGTTTTGCTTTTTGTTGTTTATTTTGTAAGTTTGTCACAGACGATGAGGCTCTTGCGAGGTTTGAAGCACTCATTTTCTCTGGAAACAATTAGGAGCCGGTGTTTTGTCCCGAAATAACACGACCTAAATAATCTGCCGTCTCTCTGCCGTTTGTTGGATTTTAATAGAGATGTGTTCTGAAGAGCTGCTGAATGGTGACTTGTCAGCAGATTGTACTGTCCCGAGCTTTAAGTGCTATCTTTGTTTTCTACTCATTTTCAGCGAAGATGCCAGAAACAGCAGAAGCCGTGTCAGCCACTCTCACCACCAACAGAAACTGCACCATAGAAATATCCAATGTCAGCGCCACCTACTGTCTCATCAACCCCAAGTAAGTGAAAAAAATTCACAAACTATCTCGCATGAGTAACATAGTAATTACTCAAGGGATGGTTCGCAGCCCTAATGTGGTACACATGACCCCTTTGGCCAAATTTTACTATTTCTTTATTTAATCATTTAAACTATTTTGCCCTTTTAATCTCATTTACTTTTGTGTCTTTGTTTACTTTTCCATTGGCATTTTTCTGTTAACTGTTTTCTGCATATATAAATATATACACATATTAATAAAACACCATTTCCTGCTTTATTTAAGGTTAAAAAAGCTAGTAATAACTTAAAAACAATACATGTTTACAATTGTTTTCCATCAATGTCTGTTTTGTTTAACTGGTCTGTAAAAAAGAATGACACCAAACAATAAAATGAATAAATAATTCCTCCCGTTGTCCACTGGAATTTGCGGCATGTGTCCACATTAATCTCACAGTGGCAGCAGAGACCGTATCTTGGACGGCTGGGTTTCATGTGTAGCATCACTTTGCCCAGAACTTCTACCTATCCATCACGCAGTGACACGCACCGCCTCATTGCACATCGCGTGCAGGTACACTCACCGTAGCTTGGAAGTCCACAGCAGTATGTGCGCGAGTCACACTCTATCCATCAGAATAAAGGCTTTCACCCCGGAAAGCCCAGCGCTCAGAAACTACCCTGACAGTCTCCACAAAACCTGAAAAACTTTCCTTGTTTTTTTTTTTTTTTTTTTTTGTTCATCAAAAGTTTGAAAAGTGCGTCATAAAAGTTGTCCGCAGATTTGCAGTGACAGTCAGTCTTTCAATCTTCCTGTCTTGTTCAGGGTCTACATGTCAAGCGGCTTCAGTCATCACCCGCCCCAGCCCACGGTCCGCACCGCCATGACAGAAGTGTGCTCCTTCACCAAGGACGACAACACGGCCACAGGCTCGGTCGGCGTGCTGACCTACGACCTGTTCAATATGAAGAGCCGGGTTTACGCCGAGCGCGTGGCCATTATGTTCTCTGTGCCCTTTGACCACAACCTGTACAAGAACCGTCTGGCCGTGGGCTGCGTGGAGCATTCCCGCGCCTGTGACAAACATCTGTACAACCAGATGTATGATGGGAAAGACCTCACCGGCTTTGTGCGATCTGAGGCAAACGGATCGGGAGTGTTTCATCGTGGCTCGTATATTGATCTGAGGGCAACCATGTCCACCACTGGCAAAGCCATTGTTAAAGTGGAGCTGTACGATAAAATGGGCCATTAGTGTGGAGACCTGTTTGTACTTTGATTCAAAATAATAAATAAACCCATGTACTCAGTTGAATGGTGAGTCAAATAAACATGAAAAAAAAGAGTGATGCTCATTGATTATACTTCACCTGGTTCTTCATTACAGGAAATAAATATTCAAAATACACACTTGGTGCATTGTGTCATTTTCTGTGTGTGTGTGTTTAGTGTGTGTTTAGTGTGTGTGTTGGGAAGGAGCTGCACCACACCCATAGACAACGTGACAACGTATATCACACACCATCAAGCTACTGTTAAAAGTTCAACTTCCAACGGAAATTTTGATACATCGTGGTTGACTTCCAGCTCACTTTCTCCATCCTCCCTTTTTTCCAAACTTCCTTTTTACCAACCTCAGATATTTATGGTCTTAACCTTATCCATATTTGGCCAAAAGTTTATTTTTCATTCACTTTGTTTTGCTTCAAAAAACATTCAGCTGTTTCTAGTTCTTGTTCTCAGAAAATATGCTTTGAATGCATTTTCGTGGAAACTTCAATCTCGGAGGCATTTTCTTTGAGCCAGTTCTAAGCTAATTTAAAGCTGTTTTTTATTGCCTTTTGGCTAACTGTTACTTACATCTTGATCAACTTTACTTTAGCTGTTCTTTTTACTTTTGCAATTTTCTTGTTGTCATTTTTTTCCCCGGATAGATAAACATTTTGAGCGTACCTAAGCTAACTTCTTGCTAATGATAAGACATTGTTTGTTCTAACATTAAGCTTCTTTGTGGCTAACTTTATTAGTCTCTTTGTTTATCTTTAGATAATTCCGTATTTAAGTATTCAGAATTTATGTTTCACTAATGTAACTCTACAGCAGTGATCATCAACTTAGAGGTTAATAAATACTGAAAAGTTGAAGCTGGATTTAAACTTATTCACATGTTCTGTATAAAACAAAAGCTGAAGTGTTCTGCTTTTCTAAAATACTTCTGTCTTGAGCAACAAATGAGGAGCGGTTTGCCCATGTTTTAATTTTTACCACAAGATTCGCTTCTCTAAAAGTAGCAGATGATGGGAAAATCTGAGTGGATGGTATTTTGTTTGTTGACTTGAAACCGCTCAACACACTGGTGACTCATCTCTTCCTTGTTCAGTGGTTTCTGTGTGGAATTCCTAAGTTTCCAATGTTCACTCCTTAAATAGCCCTGGAGTCTGCCTTAACATGTTACAAATATGTCGTGTTTAACGACATATTTGTAACCTATAACTTAACAACCTACAACCTATTGTACAGATATATTTGTAACCTATAACTTAACAACCTGCAGGAGTATTGTACAGAGGAATCCTATTTCACTGGAAAAGAAAACTGCTGCCAGGGATCCTGTCTCACCAAACAGGTTTGGATCCAGTAGAAAAGTGCTAAGAGCAATCGGTACCACAGATCTGGGTGTGGTCGTTTTATCCAGGAGGGAAAAACATATTTGTGCTGCTGGTTTTTCTGAGTGTGTGCGTACGAGTGTGTCAACTGAAAGAGGGTGTGGACTGTGTCTGGCTTAGGCTGAAAATGGGAGGGCATCCTTATTTTTTTTTTGTTGCCTGCCACCCACTCCCACTTCTGGTAGAATTTTCCAGTTCAAGATCTGGGAGTATTCACATAAGATCTCTGCAGGTAAGTCACTGGAAACAGTTTTTTTTAAATGACTTTGACTTCGCAGAAGAGACATTTCTAAAAAAGTTAGTTTGATTGTAGAGACATTTCTAAAAAAGTTAGTTTGATTCGCATCTGTAGGAAAAGAAAAGAAAAGAAAAGAAGGAAAAGTGATTTGTTGTCATTGTGACACAGCTCTGCATTTAACCCTTCACCTCAGTGAGCAGGGGGCAGCGAGTGGAGGGCACCTCAGTGGAATATGATGGCTGGTGGTCAAAGTTGTGGTGAAAAGTCCGCTACTTTAACCACCAAGCCACCACTGCAACTTTCTAAGTAAAAAGGGCGTTTGTTTTCACTCCGACTTCTGTAACATACAGTGATTATAGGTGTGAGAACAGAAAACTTTCTAATGAGAACAAGAAGGTCAACATCCATGGCGCTATATCTCCGTCTCATTATCCTCACACAGGTGTTAATATCCAGCCTCTTTGAGCTGATGAAGGTCCGTGTGCAGAGATCACGGGAGTGTTCTGCCTGATACACAGTGTGATTTTCAGAGAGTCGAGGAGAGAAACAGTCACAGCTGTTCAGCTCAGACAGTTTGTTGCTTTAACTTTGTTTGTTTTTTTACCAGCAGATCACACGACAACATGTCTGAGTCAGCCGAAGCCATCGCAGCCGATGTGAACAGCAGGAGGAGTGTCGTCATCGAACTCACAAATATCACCAACAGTTACTGCCTCATCAACCCCAAGTAAGCCCTGAATATCCAATATACTGTGGATGTGGATGGGCGGGCAGGGTGACCAATCACAGCACTTGGAAGTGAAATTTATTTTTTCAGCTTTAATTAAATTTGCAGGCATTATTGGCTCAAATGTAACCATGGTAACCATGTGCTATTAACTACATGTTACTTGGCTAACTTTTAGAAAAAAGTATCACTTAGGCTATATTGAAGTAGTATAGTTAGTATTTTTTGGTTCAATATTATCCGAGTTTTTACAAACTATTCCCTAAACTTTTATGTCAAACTCATTTTGTTTCAGAAAAGAAAAGAAGGAAAAGATGCCAATCTAATGATTAGATGCCAAGTGGGCCGGACCAGTACAGTCATAGCACTTATTATTATAAATAACAATAAGTCCATATTTCCCCCCTTCGTTTTCCTGCAAATAAGAACAATTATATTAGAAAATATTCATATTTAATGAAATATAATTTGACAAAACAAGTGTTTGTGCATTTTTTTCACTTCAAAATTCCTCAAGTGGGCCGAATTGAACCCCCGAGCGGGCTGGTTTCAGTCTGCTGGCCGTATGTTTGACACCCCAGGTTTGACACAGTGGTTATTTTAATACTGTAGTTGGCTTTCTGTGTGTGTGTCTGTAGGGTATACCTTGATAATGGAGAGACCCACAACCCACCTCAACCCACAGTGCGCCCTCTAAAGACTGAGGTTTGCACTTTCACCAAGTCCAGTTCCAAGGCAACGGGCAGTGTCGGTGTCCTGACCTATGACCTCCTAGAACGATCGCGCGATGACTACATCGAGACTTTGGCCATCATGTTCTCCGTGCCCTGGGACTACCACCTGTACAAGAACTGGTTTGCAGTGGGTCTCTATAAAAAGGGTCGCAACTGTGACAAGGATTTGTTCAAAGAAATGTATTATGAGAAGAACCCGTCGGCCCACGGGTTTGCCAGGGAGGAGGCCGTGGGGTCCGGCATCAATTACGTGGGTGACTACCTAGATATCAAGGCCACCATGTCTCCCCTGGGCAATGCCATTATGAAGGTGGAGGTGTGGGATAAGCTCTTCACACCCATCATGGGTCAGCATGCAATGTAGTCGTCCTCCCTAATCACATTATAACCATGTACTCCAGCAGCAGCAGCAGCTGTTTGGACCGCACTTTTCCAACCACACTCCAAATGCAGAATCAAGCATGTGTCTGTAAACCTGGATTTACCATTAAATAAACCTGTTTCAAATCTGACTTTATTTTTTTCATTAATCCATTGCACATTGCTCACCCCGTCTAACGGTAAAGTCTCCTTCGGTTTCAATAGCATTTCTTTTTAAACAGGCACTTTCAGAAAAGGGAATTGAAAAATATGACTCAGAGGAAAGATAAGAGCGACTTCACTGAACACAGTGCATTTGCCTTGACCCTGTAGAGTGAGCGACACAGTGAGCCATTATGTAGAATCTGTTCTTGAACAGGTTTATGATCAGTGTAGTTTTTAAATGTTAATAATAAATAAATGCTAGTTTTCCAACATTAACAATTATTGCAATTTTTTTCAAATGTGCAAAGTTGGAGGAAACAAAACGTCGATGCAGTTTTCTTAATTCTGATGAGCTTAAATGACAATTTCATTGTGGCTCACTATCATCATATTGATTACGTTCCACAATTCTCTTTAGAAAACAAACGCTGCTTTTCAAAATCTGGTTTCCCTTCAGATTCATGACACCATTTCAAGGATTGGCTGATGAAGCTGCAGTCGAGCCGTAAAGATCAAATGTTTCTTTCTCTCCGTCACTGATGCATTAGCATAAAAATACATAAGTAATAAATCCATACCACTCATAGTCTCTGTGCGATTGGGGAAATAATATGTTCTTACAATTAAGAGAAGGAAGATTGGCTGTCACATTTCTGTCATATTTTACTCTCTCTCTCCTATATCCTTTCAATTTCCTCTTTCATATCCTTTATTATTGCTTTCACATTAACTTCATCCTGATTCGTATGTGCAGGATAACTGTTGTGCATAAGCTTCAGTAAGTGTATGTATGCATGCAGGCGGATGAAGATACAGTATATCAACGTATGTATTTTTTTTAAATGGAGAAATAAATACCTTTGCATCATATGCGACTTCTGTGAATGGGGGGTTGAATCTAATGTATATAAAAATGTATTTTCTCTTATAGATAAGAGTAAGGAGCTTAGCATTTATGAATTGCAATGTATGCTTCTTTGGCACTGCTAAAGAGAGGATATCGATCTGTTTTTCCTGCTGTCAAAATCCTGAGGCGAGGCGGATGTGTGCAGGTGAACCGTCCTGTCTTATGATATCAGGTGATCTCACTGAAGGAGCGCTATGGCTGTGGTTAAACTGCTGCATGAGGATGAGTACAGTACAATGACAGCAAATGCAATACTAACAGCAGATACATTAGAAAACCTGTATTTCTGATGTAGTAGTACTTTTGGTATTTATAAACACTGGCAATGAAAACTAGGGAGTTGATAAAAGGAGCCTGTTGGAACACTGTGCAATATTTTATATATATATATTATGTTTTGAAGATTGGCTGTGAAGGAAAAGCCGTGATACTTGGCGGAAAAATGTTTCAATGTGAAGAGTGGAACGAGGAGAAACGCAGAAACTTTCGCGCTGTTTGTCTTTGTACTTGTTCTCTTGGTTGACTTTCAAGATTCTCAGCAGGCCAACAGAGCTCCGGTTGTTGTGCTTCACAGACATCATATGATGTCTTGGCATGAAAAGTTGGTTGTTGTTTGACTTTGTGTCAGTCTATTTGCTTCCAAATGAATCCTGGCGTTCCTGGCTGTGTTGACTCCAACGGTGAGTAAGCACACGGAAGAATAGAACACATTATTCAGATTAGCATGTTAGCATCTTGACCTACTGAGAGCCTGTGGCTAAAGTCGTAAACGGTAAAATAATAAATATCCTTCTTCATCTGAATGTTTTTAAAAACGTAATTTTTCGTCTTATCTAAAGGTATAATAAACTCTCCAACACTGCCATCTATTTAAATTGTTTTAGTACTACAATACACTGTGCAATATTTACAGCTTTACTCATTTCACAGCTTTACTCAACGTATATACTCTTATATATACTCGTATATAACTCTTAATTGTATGAATGCAAGAACTATAGGTAAAAATTTAAATATAAAAAACAAATCCATCATTGGTTTTCTGATGGTCACGCCATTAGCTTTCTTGGACACTAGCATCTATGGACTAACTTTATTTTAATTGACATATATAACACCTTATAGTTATCGTTATTCCTGTCTGTTTATGTCTCCTTTTTAAAACTTAAAGAACGCTTACTGTGCAGTGGAAATTATGGGAAATCCATGCAAATATACATGAAAATGCTAATGAGGGGCATGACCAATGACAGACAGTTTAACATTATTATTTAAATGTATGTACGTGGGATGTTTACATTATCTGAATGTTCAGAGTTATATGGAATTTTTCAATGTCTTTATATTTATTATAAATCTGTTATATTGTTATATATAATATATTATATTATATTTTAACTACATGTGACAAATGTTATTTTAGATTTTGATATATTTTGTTTTTAACCTAACTCTAACTGCATCAGTCTTACCTGTTCAAACCAGATAAAGAACAACCACTGATTCATTTAGACACTAATAGTTTGTGGGTTTTATTTTTTTTTTTACACTTTTTTACACAACAGCTCTGTTTTAATAGAAAATGATGAGAAGACGTTCATGTTGCTTCTACTGCATGTATCTGCTGCCCTCCAGTGACCGTACTTGTCATAATTTTTTTTTTTTTTTGACAGTTATGCCAATGAGCTCATCTATCTTCTGTAACCTGTTATACATTTTATATATTCTTTCTATCGTCCACTGCCCTGAGATTCAAATGGTTGACAACTGGGTATAATCTTGCCAAAAATAAATTTAAAAAAATTAAAACAGTCTTTTAGTGGGTGGGTCTCACGGGGGAAACATAATTTGTGTTTATTTTGTTAGGCCTTTCCTACTGCTACTGTCCACCTGTCCCTGTCTAATGTGTTTCCCCTCTACTGCAATCACCAAACCATTTCCACCTGTGTCTCGTTAACTCCTCCTCCTCTGTTTGTCTACATACCTCTCACTTCCTGTCTGCAGTTGCCACTGTATGAGCCTATTCTTTAGTTAACCAAGTTAGTTTCTTGAATTAGACTTCAGACCCAGTTTCCAGTCATTTTTTTCCAGTTTTTTTTCTGTTTTTATCTTTTTTTAGGGGGGCGGGGGGGCTGCTTGTTTGTTTGTTTGTTTTTTTGCTCGCCTGCTGTCCTTATTAAGACTGTGACAGCCCTAGCTGTGTCCTACTGTTGTGTCCCGCTGAAGAGACTGAGAGTAGATTTTTTTTTTTTTTTTGCAATATTTCATCATTATTATATTATTTTTAGACGCTGTTGTCTATCACTTAAATTATCTGCTAATCAAGTCAAAACACGGGCACCTCAGAGAGACACTGACTTTGTCAGCCTGGCTGTGAAGGTCGATGTGATGTCAGTTGAGATGCCAAATCGATCATCATATGAAGGAGTGAAGCTGACAGTCAGATGCCAAAAATCCCAGTCTCAATGTGAGACTATAAAGTCAGATTTATGTCAAATCTAATCTGTTTGTTATTTAATGTAATCTAATTCAATCTCTACAAAATAGGACTGTTACATTTTTAATCTGATTAATCACAGGGTAGCTAAGCTAACTAAGCATAAAATTGATGGGTTTTATATATTAATAATATAATATATATATTTATATATATTATATTTTCTGTTATGCTATGCTAGGTCATGGTTTCATGACTGTCATTTTGAGTTTTTGTCAAGCCATTTTCTACATTTTTATTATATATATATATATACACAGTATATTATTACATATTTACATCTTTTAAACATGACCTATAACTATGCACTTTAATCTTTCAAAAGAACAATAGCATTTCCTGTGGTGATAATCCCACATTAAATCTACTAAGGTCTGATTGACAGATGGTACTGTAGCACAAACTGAACCCAAAGTCTTCATTTCACCGGATGTTGACAATCTACACAGAAAACCTAACATTGCATTACAATAACATTACAATTAGTGTACATTTATATTACATATACAAAGTTGATGGTGTTAAACAGCAGAAGGCAGGCGACCTGTTTCAATGCTAGCCTTTACTTTCCTGTTCTACCTCAGATTGCGCCGTCGCTGCTTCCCCCTCTCCGTTTTCCTCGTAGGGCAGTGGTGGGGACGACTGCTGGGCCTGAACTGGGAGATGGCTTTGGAACTCTTCTGGAAGTTCTTCCTCAGAGTAGACTCGATCAGAAAAATAAACCTGTCTTATTCGACAGTTGGCGTTAATCTGCACTCGCTGAGTTTCTACGTACTGCGTACCGTACACCTGCGTGGTGAAGTCCGACAGGTTAAATGTAATGGAGTTCCAGCCATCGGCCAGCATCAGAGGCATGGTGCAGTTGAAGGGGTTCACCCTCGTTGTGCTTACGTAACTGCTCGCCCGAAAATGTCTGCAGATGTTTGCGTCGTCCAGGAACTGGACCTCGAAGGAGAAATGTCTTTCCAGATTTTTAATGATCATCACCATGTGTGGAAGTTTAATGGAAAGCGTTTTGTCAGGACTCGCAGGACACGTGATGTAGGTGGTGTTGATGTTGACCCCCGTGACCTCCAGCACAGATGAGTGAAGGTCGTCGTCTGTGACTCTCGTAATGTGACCATTTTTTACCTGTGTGTCCCAAAGTTCAAGTGGTTCGCTGCCCATGTTGTTAAAGATGGACATAAGTCCAGTCTGGATGGTTTCCTTGAACATTGTTCAGTTAATTAGAAGGTTTTTTTCGTACGGGGGTAAAAAAGGACATTCCTCTAAATGTTCTTGGCCCTCACACTCTTTTTAGTCTAGTGCACTTTTCCCCCTGGATTTAGCCTGATGCAACCTGGACTGTGATGACACAGATAAAAGTATGTTCCTTTCATGTTGGGAAGTGATGCGTCATCTGTGTTTGGATTTGTCTTTTTTCTTTGTCCAAACCAGATAGCAGAATGATAGCTAAGAACCTGAACACCACCTGCTGTGATTACTGATCCAAGGTGTATGATATTAATAATTAATCATCCTTAATTTCCCAAAGGGAACTTGCATTTATCTGTCTGTCTGTCTGGAGCCTGACCAGGGCCAACTCTGTCCCTGGACAGTTGCACATTAGTCCACTAGAGGTCAGTGATTTCTTAGCTGAGTGACAGGACAGTGTTGTTTAGAATCTTTGTTGAACCATGATTGGTTGGGATTTTATTTTCATGGTACAGATAAATGGTTTCGCAACAGTTAATGTTATGCATCTTACCGACAGACAAGGATTTTCACAATCACTGACTGCACGTAGCCTCGCTCTGTTTCTGGCTTTCTGGCCTGTGGCTGAGGCGTTGACTGAGATCAGATGGGGGGGGGGGGGGGGGGGGGGGGGGGGGGGGGGGGGGGGGGGGGGGGGGGGGGGGGGGGGGGGGGGGGGGGGGGGGGGGGGGGGGGGGGGGGGGGGGGGGGGGGGGGGGGGGGGGGGGGGGGGGGGGGGGGGGGGGGGGGGGGGGGGGGGGGGGGGGGGGGGGGGGGGGGGGGGGGGGGGGGGGGGGGGGGGGGGGGGGGGGGGGGGGGGGGGGGGGGGGGGGGGGGTGGAGATGAGGATGGCTTCACATCTACGGAGGAAAGAGGTCACTGAACGCACTTTCCCACCCAGCTTTGCCAGACACATGCACACAAAAACAGTGATATACACTCTGACAAGCGCAGGCCCACCCAGCAGATTGTGTGTGTGCGCCAGATGAGGGTGTGACACCCGTCGGTCCGTGCTCCTATCACTACATATCCGTGGAGACTCTGCAGTGTTCTGCGTGATGTGCACTTCACAGCAGCAACTGCAGAGTTGATTTCACTGAGGATACGGTGAAACATCATCTCGCAGCACAAAGCCACGTCATATTCACGTCACTCGAGGGAAATCAGAGTTTAATCAAATACTGACACTTGATGCCGCAACTTCACATGTGTGTTGTACAACATAAACTAGGTAGAACAGAATCTACAATGTTTAGGAAGGTTGTCGGAATGAAGGAATGGAAAAGAGGAACTTGTGGCCCAGTGCTTAAGAAAAATGTTTTAAATTGCCTTTTAATTTCTCATGATGAGGGATTTGTTATTTTACAAACGTGCTAGCTAAAAATGATAAATATTATGAAAAAATAGGGTAAAAATCAAGGTTTTGTTGCTATAAAATAGGTACAAGATAAAAAAAATTCAAAATTCAATCAGAAAAGAAAAACATCTTATTTTATGCAAAATGTCAGTCTTTCTTACTGAGTTTTTGTTTTGTTTTTCAACCTGCCATCGTTCTCCACCTTGTTCTTAACCAGATCGATTGACAGCCTCCCCAACAAATGACAATTCAAAGTGAAATCATTTTAAAACTGTAATTTATTGGTATAAAAGTTTCAAGATTTTTGACAGACAGAGCGAACAGGCTCAGTTCCTCCAGACAGTACAGTAAGTGTTGTCAGTAACACTGTTTTTAAATACACATTTCATTCCGATCTGAAAGCAGAAAAGTTGCTTTAGCGTTGCATCGATACACATGAATAAGATGAAGTCGAAGGACAACACTCGTGTCCTTCTTTGTCATTAGTCAGTGCTTCTTTTTTTTGACTACGTTGTACAGACAAGCTAAATGTCTCTGTCAGAAAATAAAATATAAAATGTTTGATACATTTTTGTTATTGAGCCCATCATCTTAGCATACGGACGAGTGTCGCAATAAAGACAGATTGAAAGTGTCGTTCAAAAATAAACATTTCCAGACAAATAACTCTGGCTCCCCATCTCCACCCGATTTCTAGGCGTATCCATTCACTGTGTCTCATCTGTAACCTCTGAACCCAGTATGCTATGACTCACATCCACGCATAAGGACATGCGCTTGGGCTTTTCTTAAGAAATATCTGTATATGTACCTCAGACTATGGTCAAAATGGCCTTAACGTTTTTTGTTTTCTTTTAATTCATCCCTAAAGCATTACAGTAGAGGCTTTCAATGCACCTGGAAAATTGGTTAACTGTGCTTTAGTTACATACACATCTGTAGGGTATTTTGTTAAGTAGAACACATTAGTTAGCAAAAGAGTAAAGTTCAGCTAAATCATAATTATTTACTCACAGATATCTTAAATTTAGAGTAAAACAGAAGGAAGTGTGAACTATAAGTTAGCAAAAAGTAGTTAAGAATATATCTAATAGGAAATTCAGTAATTCAGCCAAAATATTTGAAAGGTAGTATGATAGAAGGACGGCTAGGTTAGTACGCAAATGAGTAACAGCTAACCAAAAAATTAACCAAAAGTTAACCAAACTTATCTCAGATGACAGATATTATCTTACCCCTTTAATAGCCTGATATAAGCTTGAAACTTTGATATATAACTGAAATATATGTAAAAGTACCAATTAGGTAGCTTAGCTACATTACGGTAGCCAAAGGCTAATCAATTTTAAATAATGACTCTGATATATTAGAGTTATTCCTCAGCTAAATGCACTGATAAAGCTATAGATACATATAAATTTACATTTAGAGAAGATAAAATATGGATATTTATCAGAAGGTAGCCATGGATGGGTGTTAGCCAATAGTTGAATAAAATATAACACAAAAGCTTATCTTTGGATAAATTATCCAAAGATAGACTGGCAAAAACAAAAACAAAAAAATTTAAAAGTATTGGAAAAGCCTTGAAACAGTCCAGGACGTTCTCCTAACACATTCATCAGGGGCTGATAACGTTTATTAAATTAATAAGAAGTCTCGCTCTACACTCATTTTTTGGCTCAAAGCAGAGCTAGGTATGAAGAGTTGATGTTTGCAGTCAATAAAATAAACATCTTGTCTTTTAGCAAAAACTAACTGAACGGTGCCTTACACGATTAGGTGTGGCAACACAAATTTGTTTCTTGTCTCTGTTTAACTTTTGCCAGCTGTGGAGCCTTTGTCAACATAAACCTGAATGTTGTGTTCTTCGTTTTAAATTAAGCTGTTTTCCGAACATGTGCATCCAGTTTGGATGTAACCAACACCATCAGTGGTTCCAATTCCCCGTTGGTGGGTTGAGACAAATCTATTGTCTTTTCCCTCTTTTTTCTTGAAAAGAAAGAAGTGTTAATGAGACACAGTACAGTACATCAACAGCACAGCTTATGTCACATTGGATGTCAGAGGACACCTGGGAGTTTGTCGTAAAAAACATTGTTATGGAGGCACAGACTGCATTGTGAAGTCATAATCAGAGTGTTCTGTGTGAGACAGCGGCTCTCTCTCTGTTGCTGACCTGGTCTCAGCTTCAAAGCTCAGGTGGACTTGTTGTAGGTGATTGGAGCAGCAGCAGTTTATGGTCACACGTAGGATTTTGGCGATTGTCATGAACGTCATGAGATGTCGTCCCAGTTTACGGTTTTGAAGACTACCAGGATGACCATGACGGGGATTAGGAAGATGGGCGTTATAACCAGGGCAAACATCACGAGGGGTGGCGGGTCACCCAGCTCCTCCGTAGGACAATCTTTAAAGTACCTGAGGTGAATCTTCACAAAGGTCTCCTCCACCAGAGGGTTTGGCCAAGGGATGAGGAGACAGTCAGATATGACCTCTGTGCAGTTGCTCAGGTTACTGTAATAACTGTGCACAAAATATAAACAAAATAAGATTTAGTTTATTTGCTAAATTTGCCAGAGTAAGGTTTCAAAGTCAGAGGCCAAACTTAATATTTATTAAAAAATTGACGGCAATTGTGCATGTTTTCTCTTCCACCCAAAAATTGGAAACAAACCTTAGTTTTGCGCAGAATCTGGAACAACCAAAGCTTAATATTATAAACACATGAGAAATAAAACACACATCAGTGGTATTTGTTTCTTATCATCCCTCTTTATCTGTAGCCTTTCCTGTTCCTTTTTAATGTAAATCTTTTTTTCACAGGCTAAAAACAAAATGCTATATATGCTATAACATAGCCGTACACCGCTAATACTATAAATCCTGCCAGTTATAGGGGCTATATACTGGTAAGCTAACTCTAGTACATATTTCATATGAGCTTGCAGGCCAAATATTATTACCTGATTTGGCCCCCGAGTCTTAGTTTGACACGTGTTATTTGGCCCCCGAGCCTTAGTTTGACACGTGTGATGTAGGGTTAACGTTATTCTGGAAATAGAACTATCCAGGTGCTCGCAAGTTAAAGACACACAGTGGAAGGTGTTTTGGCTAACATTAAAAGCTACATGATTAATATATAAAATAAGTTTATTACTTTTAAAAGTTTTAGTTTTAGTGTAAAAAACTGTAAAGTCCATAGAGTCAAAATGTGTTTCATAAATTGGGGCTATACAAAAAAAATGACTTTTTTTTGTTGTTTTGTTCCTATTGTGTTTCCTTCACATGTCATGGGACAGACGGTCAACAGTAGAGAAAAGACCCAGCAGGGGGCGGTAATACACATCAAAGACTGACATCAGCCATTAAAACAATGGTTCACTGAAATTTGGACAAAGCCCCCAATTTGCAGATTGGACTATTGTCAGGTCCCCCACGGCAACACATTCTGTCTGTGCATCGGTTCTCCAGGTTCTCCAGGTTCTCCAGGTTCTCTTCCCCAGTCCAAATACATGCATCCAAGATTAGGTTGATTGGATTTTCTAAACTGACCATAGGTATGAGTGTGAGTATGAACGGCTGTTTGTCTTCTCATGCAGCCCTGCCCTGGACAGACGAAGTGTCTGATTGGATTGGCCCCAACTACGTACCCTCGCATTTTTAAAGGATTAAGCAGCAGAAGACGATTAGATAAATAAATGCTCTGGCCGGTTGTGTTATCGTAGGCAGCTTCTGTAAGTTTTGACTTATAATATAGTAACATGGTTAGCACATATAGTGTTACTGTAGCATATATCAGAGGTCCTAAACTCCTCCTCCAGGGGGCACCTTCTGCCTGTGCACCCCGCACATCTGATCCACAACTATTAATAAATATCAATAAAATGTTGCTCCTGAAGTAATATTTTTTTAAAAATGCATCATAATTGTTTGACATGTTCTTTTATGCAAATGCTTTAGTTGTTAAAAGATAAATTCATTATGAATTATGTGGCCCAATGAAATGCCTCAGCTCATTTGGATTTGCGTCCCCTGGCGTAGATTATTTAGATAACTGATAACAACAAGTTGTCATGTCCTCATAACGTCTGATTTTTTTTTTTTTTTAGCTTTGCGTAATATTCAATTATTATTTCAGTAATATTCAACTATCCCAACTGAGTGCCTGGGATTAAACTTATCATTGATAAATAACTCCACAGCTTCTCCTCACCTCCCTAACACCTTAAATGGAGCAACACTCTCACCTCCTTTTGACCCAAGATGTACAAAAAATGAATGCTACAAATTCTGTTTATTGCTGATTTAAAAAAATATAAATATATACATATATAAACGGATCACATGACTCACCCTTTGACGTTACCCCAATTGCACCAGCGGGTGCTGTTCAGTGATGTCATTTCACTGTCAAAAGTCCTGACACACAAGTTGCTGTAGAAGCTGGAAAGGCAGGTCATTGAAGGAGCGCCGAACTTCTCGTGACAGATGTTCCATATGTCTGTGCAGTGGTTCAACGTGTCGTCAGAAGCTGTGTGACGTCAGAGAACCAAGAGTGAGGCTTCAAAGAATGACATTACACTTAGTGTTTTAGGTCATCTGCGAAGGGAGAGGGGGTTTCACCTACCCAGTGGCAAGGCAGACCCTCCATAGGTGACGTCTGAAAACACGAAGAGGTAAGCTTTACACATCGGCACACGTGAGCTAAAATGTTAACTTCATTTTTTTATTATTATTATTATTATTAACAGACAAAAAGCCAAAGACATTTTCTTTTTTTTTTTCATTTAAAGTTAACATGCTCTTTCACATGTCCGTCTGCTCAGGCAGGCATTTGCAGCTGTGAAAGAAAGACCACACACTCACCAGAGAGGAAGGAGAGGAATACCCCAATGAAACCAAGTGCTCCATTCATGTCAGACAAAAAAATGAACAAAAGTGCGCTTCCCCTAACTGATGAGCACGTATGATAAACCTGAAAGTCCCAGACTGCGTACAGCAAGGCATAACAGGAAAAAGCCGACAGGATGGAAGAGCGACAGTTTAACCTTCGGTTACCAGATGTCCAAACAGTGTTACCCCACAGTTGCCAGATGTTCTGGGGAGATGTGAGTATAACGGCCCTGCCTGCGCCTTGGCAGCAGCACTTCCTCTCTTCAACACACGTTTCTTGCCTTTTCTTTCCTCTTTTAAAGGGGTGGAGGCAGCAGAGATTGTCCTCTTCATTCTCTCAAATAAAAGGGAGCACACCCAAGCTGGGCTGGACTCACATCTGAAAACCCTTACTCTTTAACTCTTGTTTCTCCTCTTTAGTCTCAGTTTCTCACAGTCGAAGGCCTGGCCAGCTCACAGCATGTGATTTATTTGCCTTTTGGGCTGCCTCTGCCAAATAGGAAACATAAGTAAACATTTAGGGCTTCAGCATTTCTGCCGGAGTGCCTGTAATCATGACTCTGCAGGCTGTGCTGTGCGCGCACAATCCTGATTTCATATTTAGGTTCATTTGAACCTGGAACGAGCTGTTAGTCCGGGCCGACCAGCTGTTCCAACACTGAGGTCTCCACTCAATGTGTGGGAAAATGTTTTCTTCTCCTATGTCTCGTGAGTGTGCTTCATCCATAGGGTGGTTTCTCACTGTCACCACAGACCACTTTAAAGAGCAGTGTGAGAGAGAGGTGGTTTCATTGACTGAGTGAAAAAAATATATATAAATATATATATCCACTGGCCTGCCGTGTGTTTTCTCATGAGCAGCCTTTTGGTTTATTTCACTGGATCCACATGTTGGGCCTCTCACAACATCTGTTTGCCGAGCAGCGTTTTTGATTTAGTAATGACATTAAGAAAAGTGTCTTTTCAGCAGAGGAGGAGCCTCGGGTCGGGGTGGGTTGGGGGGGACAGTCAGGGGAAAGAGCAGCAAAAGAAAGGGGGGGGAAGGGACAGGATGAGGAACACTAAAAGGGGCGCTGCTCCAAAGTTCCAGTTGTTTCACAACTCTCGAGTTCATTCGTTCATCACAGACGTTGCATGGGGTAAATGACGAACAAATTCAGGAAGTGGAGCCAGGTGGGGGGCTGCTTATAATGAGGTTTCGGTTAACCTTTAACCGCACAGCTATTGCGGACCTTTTATCTTCCGCCGCTGCCCCTGCACGGTTACAGACCTCCTCATGAGTTTCTCTTGGATTCTGAGGATAAAACAAACGAGGAGATCTTGGCAGTAAACAGCACGAGTGAGGTCTGTTTTCTGTGTGTGAGCTTCAGGCCAAGTGAATGGATCAACTGACCCAAAACGATCCCACAGTGACACAAACAAAATAGATCAGGAGCAGGAATTAGCCGCAGCTCACTGATGAATGTTGTTATTATAATGGAGCCTTTAAATTACCTGTTAATAAAAAAAAGTGGCGCTTCTATAGCTCAAATGACTTATATGCCAATCAATCAATAAGTCAAACAGTTGTTGGATTGACGATTAAACAATTGCAACGAATAGCTAAAATGAAGCTAAGCTATTGGAAGATTTAATGAATCGTAGCTAAAAAAAATTGCCCAACCGTAACTAATAAATACTTATACTTAAATACCAACATTAAAAGCCAGTTATCAGTATTGCTAACAACCAAAAGCAATTAGTTCTTAAATAAAGAGTTATCAACATTAGCATAGCATTAGCTAAATTGTAGGTGTTTGTCCACGTGGTGTGCGTAGTTTCTCTTCCCCAGACTGCTGGTGGTGTACGTGAATTTTAAGCCCTGTTTATTGAATGATATGTACTTATACAAAATATTTTTTGCAACACATTTAGGTTGATATCAGATAGAAAAAATAATAATAATGGTCAAACATCTTTAAAAAATAGCTAGCCGAAAATGTAAATGCTGCTGAAATTGGCCAATAAGAGTTCAGTTTCAGTTCAGGTTTAGAAAATGTTGCTAAAATGTTGACCTAAAATAAAGAAAAACAGGTTAAAAAGAACCCTTTAAAGAAGACAGTGTGTCTGCTGGATGTTTTCGAAGACCAAGAAGTGCTATCAGTTACATAATGGTACTTGGACATTACTTTGTGTGCCTTTGTCCCATTATTTACGAAGTTAGTTGCGTCAATTTGAAGATTTATGATGAACATGTAAAATTAACTTAATGTGACTGTTTCAGTTCAGGGCCTTGACTTTCCTGCGAACACAGTTTGCTCATTAACATCCCTGACGATGACAGGGACACCCAGATGCTACACATTAACACTTGCAGTAGTTTGTTTCCGATGACGATGTGCAAAACTGTTCCTGTAAAATGTCTCTTTATTGTCGATAAATAATCCGCACTTGTGGCTGTTACACATAAAACTTATTATGACTAATGTTGAGCAAAGATGGTTTTTCCTTTTTTTTTTTGTGTGACATCATCAGCGGTGATGACGATGGTTACCTCCCATCACATCTGCCTTTGACACAGCCTCTGTGGTTGATGAGTCCAGTTACCCACGTCACAGGGTGGTGGGCGCTCTGTCTCAGCTGTAAGATGTAGGAGCCATGCTGCACACACACACGTCCATTTTAACCTCATTTAATGTAAATTGCTAATGTTCATTTGGGGCGGCAGAAATAAAGTATCCAATGCAGGCTGTTCACATTTAGTTCAGCATCAGATTTAACCATTAATATATCAACCTCTATTCCTTTTATAATAAAGCTAAAGGATTGGCCTGTTGAAAAAGTTGAAAAAAGCCCAAAAATAATAAATGGGAAAAAAATAACAAGACATAAAAGCTAAAAAGTGAAGAAAACAAATATGTAGAGGGAAATGAAACTAGTCCAAGTGTCAAGATTGAAATGAAAAATAAAAAAATAATAAAAATAATTTAAAAAAACAGAAGTGTGTGTGATGATGTCTGATGATGTCTGAGCTGGTCAGAACAGAACTGTCAACATCCACACACTAGTTTCACAGACTTGGTTTGATTAAAACAGTCTTTAGAAACATTTAGAAAAAAAAAAGTTGAAACATTTGATACTGCCTAAAGGGATCAGTTATTTTAAGTGAAAGCGTTAATAAACCGTGGCACAAAAAAACTTTTTGAATCAACAATGAGACTTATAGTCTGTACATTCCATTAATTGTCAAAAATGTCAACCTAGAAATGAGCATCTTCGCTCATTTTATTTTATTTTATCCCAACTAACAAAGTCCCATGTTGTTATCAATTATAATGTGCAGAGATATGGCTTCAGTGAAATAAAAAGTGATCAAAAAATAAATATCTTGCTCCTTATCCTTTATGAAAGAAAAAAAATAAAAAGGGTAAAATAAAAAGAGACAACTATTCAACAAGATTCAAGAAAAAATAAAAAAGGCTGAACAGTGCCCTCTTGTGGTCAAAACTGGTATATTCAGACAAAGTCTTTGAAGTCTCATTACTGCAAGAATTAGTTCAAATGAGACATACTGCAGGCCCAAATATTTAAATTCTTAATATAATACCTATAAATATATATATTTAGACTTCTTAGTAATTTTCGGTTTAAAGTATTACATTCCGAAATAGTTCACTGTGTAAATGCATTTATATTCAGATTTCCATGAAATACAACAACAAATGCCACAGGGGGAATATTTTGAATTAGAATATGTTTCGTGTTAAACACATTTAGGAATTAAGTTACAGTGGTTACTATTAAATTGTTGTGAGACAATCAGTCAACCTGTATTGTAATTAAAGAAATTCAATAGGCCAGTGGTTCTCAAACTGTGGTACGTGTACCACTGGCACTCTCTAGTGGTACACTAGAGAGTTTTATTCTAGAGAGTATTATTCTAGTGGCATATTTTCACATTTACATTTTCAATTGAATAAATCTGAAACATATCATGCACAATTAACACAGCATTTAGAAAAAATGTGTAGCTACTTGTGAGATTATGAAATAGGATGTCTGGTCTTTTTATTTATTTATTTGGGGTTTTTGCTGCAATGTAAGTCTGTTGCTCACGTAAGCACAGGCAGCACAGAATCATGGGAACACTTGCAAGTTGAATGTGAAATGAGCAGGAGAATTCTAATGTTGCTCATCGTGGTGGTACTCAGAGAGCTCAATGTTTTCTCAGGTGGTACAGAGTAGAAAAAGTTTGAGAACCACTGCAATAGGCTATCCTTGACTGAAAAACCATTGAGGAACCCTGGTCAAGGGCAGGGGTTCCATACTAAAATCCATACTTGTAGATGTGATTAGAATTTAAGCCATGTTATATATCCTTAAGCTTATGTAAATAGTTGGCATGGCCGCTAGCTTAACCAGCTAGCTGAAGTGATGTGTCACTCAAAGTTAAAGTGGGTGGGAGTAATGGCCAGTATGCTTTTTTTATTGGTCCAAATAAAACTGTCTACAGATATTGCCACGACCCCCTCACTATGACTTGTGGACCTTGATAGGTCTGGCAACCCCGAGTTGAGAACTACTGGTCTAGGAAAACATGACTGTCATGAGTTATTTTGTGGCAACCAAAAAACTATCGTTTTAATATATTTTTTGACATAATGACAATGTGTGGTTCTCGCAGAAGCCGCAATGAAACAAGCGCAAGTGTGCTGTGATGATTTAAATTCAACATTTAAATGGCGACTCTCCACCTCTGTGTGGACAGTTGCATCAGTTCCTGTGTGTTACGTGTAAATGGCTGAGCCGTGGCTGCTGCTGCTGCTGCTGCTGCCCGTCACACCACTTTCTTTTTTAGTCCCAGGACGCAGACTAGTAATAAATCCTCCTCCACCGCTGCTGCTGCTCCTGCTGCCGCTGCTAGGAAAGGCTGTGATCATAATAAAGACGTCACCCTGCTCCTCGGTTTGGCTCAGCCTAGTCAAGTACGCAGTTATTTGATTTGGAAGCTACGACAACAAGCAGCAGCACCAGCACCATGTCCTTGGATAACGCAGTCGTTTCTTCGAGATTGTGTCGTCGTTTGGACACAGACGGAGACATCTGGGTCAGGTAATCGTCCTCGGGTGAATACGTACGGAACTGGTCCCGTCGCAGCCGCCGGACGTTCGACGCTGAGGGACTTGGATTTTTAAAGGTATTTATCGAGTGCTAAAGTGGGTGTAGGAGAGGCTACCGTTGGTGTGGTGTGCTGTCACCGCTGCTGCTGCTGCTGCTCATCTGTGGAAGTGTTGCACACGTTTAAATGGACACTGCTCGTGTGCGTGCTCGTGTACTTGTTTGTGTGTGCGCGTGGGGAAGAACGTTACACATCTTTCACGGCTGCGTCAGAAGCGTGGGCTAAGCTGCAGTTTGTGGATATGTGTTTGTGTCGTTGGGTGTCTGTGAGCGTGTTCGGGTCACAGCGGGAAAGTGAGCTGATTGTGAAACACATGAAAACTGTTACTACGCACTTTCTTAGCCCCACTTCATACTGGGCTTCAGAGGGACACGCCCACTCCACGGTACACGGCATGACCACGCACACTTAAGCCTGTCTGTTTACGTGTAAAACCTTCGTGTGTGCGCGTGTTCGGTGTTCAGAGCGTGTACGTGTTTGTTTACCGAGTTCTTCCGTCGCGAAAAATGTCATTTTAATATGTGCTGAACAGCTTCAAGCAGCAGTATAGAATGGTGTTTCAGTAATGTGACACATGATGTCAATGTTGTTTTGACAACAGAGGGGGGCGCCTTTCGGAAAACTGAGCATTATTTACGGAATAAAGTGAAGAGCCTACGACTGGTCAGCTATAATAATAATTTTACGTAAGTACGTAATTCCTGAGCAAAAATTAAATATATTGAAAATATAAAAAAAAACAATGACTCAAATTTGTGCTAAAAATAAATACGTTGAAATGCATTAATTAATTAAACAATTAAAAATAAAATATGATAAATTAAAAATGATATTTCCAAATGTTTAAATATAAATATATTTAAAAAAATTGCTAAAGGTAAAATTACTGGCCAATTAACAGTAAATGCGGAAATAAATGATAAAATAAAAAATAAACAAAGTTTTACAATAGAAAATAAGTATAAGTATTTTAAAGGAACTTTAAATACTCATACAAAATAAAGTTTTTAAGAATACATGCCTCTGCAAATACAGTATATATTCTGCACTTGAACTGACTTATTTACCATAACTGATGTGTCATTATTTTTGTAAGGAGTCATGAATGAAACAGCAGCGTCCGATCCAGCCTCTGGCACCGGTGCTACAACACCGACCACAAGAAATAACTCGGCCTCAGTGGCCAGCTCCCGCAGCCTGTTGGAGTGGAGACGGAGAGTTAAGTCTGAATACATGCGCCTCCGACAACTGAAACGCCTTAAAAAAGCAGAGGAAGTCAAGGTCAGTAGAACACGCGTGTATCATAACTGAATTAGTGATGCACATATAAAGTTACAATAACTGTCCCCTGTGCATCCTGTTGTGTCTTTTCCAGACTCTGTTCATGTCCAACAGAGAGAAGATTGAGCAACAGACGAATCTTCTCAACACGGAGTGGGCCAAGCTCCGGATTCAGTCCACACCGTTGTCAACATCTGCCGGCGCTTTGACCAACAAGAAGGTTTGTCTGCCTTTGTGTGTGGAGTATGTCAGCCTAAAGCTTATGACTCAATATCACAAGTTATCTCTAAAACTTTTCCACCATAACTTTAGAATATACTATTTCATTTTTACAAACATAATAGCAGTTGGCCACAAGGTGGCCCAAGGGGTTAGCATCTTTACCTTAACCTTAATATTAAGCTTTAGAACTGTGGCATCAAACTCCCCGCAAGTTGGCCACGGGTTAATAATCACTGTTATACAGTCACATCATCTCTTACCTGTTCTTACTCTCCTGTCCTTCCTCTTCATCACTTCTCTTGTCCTCCATCTCTGACCAGACTCAGCAGCTTCTCTATAAACACGTCCCCCTGTCAATCATGTTAATCTCCGATATTATGTCAGAAGTGAATCATGCAGCGGCCTAAGAGGTGACGTGTAATCTGTGTTGTGTTTATTTCCCATGGTGTGGCGTGTGTCAACAGTTACTCAATTATGATGTAATGAAATTGTCTAATAACGCGGCTGATTGGTCTAGAGCCTGCACGGTGCTAATGAGCTCTTGATTACTGTGTTACAGACGTGCACAGTCGAGTTCGGCTTCCCAGGATTCAAAGCTCAAGCCATTGCCATGAGGCCACTGTCAACAGTGGCAGGAATCCCCTTCATGTACTCGTGGTCGCCCCTGCAGCACAACTTTATGGTAGGTTATTGATAATTATTACAGTGTTGGTGGTTTTTGAAATACAAAGTAGACCAGACTCTGTGTGAATGCTTCCGACGGCAGCAAAAAAAGGATACAAAATATGCAATAGACGAAGAAGAGAAATGCCTTACATCAATACAGAGCATTTTACTAGAGCTAATTATGAACTTACAGTAAATAATATCAGATAAAGAACGGGATTCTGGTGGATTATTGTAGACATTAAAGTATTTTTTCCCACTAAAATAAATATTTTGTAACAATACAATTTTATATATTTTATTGCTAACCTTTACAACTTTGCTTGGTTCCCATATAGCAAAGATGTGGTAGTTATGAACTCCCTTGTTATTGAATTTAAAGGGCCAGTTCAGGTTATTGTAACCCATATATTTCTGCCCTACTTACAAAGTGCATTTCACTTGAATATGTGTTATACAAAATTAAAGTTGTGATGTGACATGTATCCACTTTGAATGTGATTTTTTGTACATATTTAGTATCAACCATTCTTTAAAAAAATTTTAATTCTATTTTACAACTAGGTCATTGAATTCTTCTTATGCCTTTTGATTTATTATTGTTTTCTCATCCGTACAGCAGATGTATTACCTATAGCTCTTGGCACCTGTCATGTAACATCAGGCTGTTTCAAACACAACGTGTTTTCTGTGCCAGGTAGAAGATGAGACGTTCCTCCACAACATCCCCTACATGGGTGACGAGGTTTTGGAACAGGACGAGGCCTTTCTGGAGGAACTGATCGACAACTACGATGGGGTTCACGGTGACAGAGGTCAGCGTTCCGTCCTCGGTTCGACTCTGCAGGTGATGCTGTTATTCTTAAAGTAACAACGTGCCGTTTCTGTTGACAGAAGGTGGCTTCATCAGTGATGAGATCTTTAAGGAGCTGGTGGAGGCCTTGACCCAGTACTCTGACTACGAAGAGGACGAGGAGGAGGAGCTGGGGAAGAAGGAGGAGGAACGAATGGTGAGGAGAAGCTCGGTGGAGGCGCCGGAAGAGTCCAAAACTGGGACTGCGGCGTATATAAGGAGAAAGAGGAGGAGCACAACTGAGGGTGAGCAGGTTTTCAGCAGCGTTTAGCTCATTCTGGGAGAACAAGGGAGAGAGAGAGAGAGAGAGAGATGCGGAGGGAACAAATCCACCAGTGTTCTCTTCATGACAGTGTGCAGCTGCCCTGCAAGGTCGACCTGCCACAGCAGCGGCGTTTGAACCGTCTTTGTTTACTTTACAGCAGCCCTCTGTGTCTGAATGGGTGCTGCTCGTCCATGACACAGATATGCCTGTGCTCTGAACGACTTACAGGATGACCTTTTGAATGACCTCTTGAATTAAAGCTCACCTGAGTACACGTTCAGGCACAAACACTAAAGCCCATGAATAAAAGATTCTGAGGGGGAAATGACTAGGTTTCCAACTGGCAGTGAGTGGAGAGAACATACTGCTGAAGCTGTAGGGGTGTATTAGAAATATTAATGTACTAAAATAAAACATTGAAAGGAGTAAATAGAGGTATGGAGTGGACATATTCTACCTAGTGATGTGTAATAAGCTCTGCCACGGGACCAAATGTCCTGGAGATACTGTGTCTCACATGCCCTTGAAAATGACATGAATGCCTTTGATGCCCTCTACAGGATATTCTGTTTACCTTGGCAAAGTCAAAGTGTGATATGTCCAGCTGGGCTAATGTAACACAAACAGCTACAAGGCTAAAACAGCTGGTTTTAAATGAAAGACAACTAAAGCGAGTCGAAAGAGGAAGTGTGAGCCGTTAAATATCGCAAATAATTATAAAACATGAGCAAACTGATATCTAATGGTGAAGACAGTAGTTTTTTTAGCTTTTGTGTACCTTATTAGACCCACATTTGGTGTTAAAAAAAATTGCTAAAGTTGGAGTAAATATGCGCACTGGAGTAATATGAGTCACTGGGACAAAGGAATAATAGGAAGTTGATTTTCCATAAATCTCTGATCACTGTCTCTGCTCCGTCCACAGTGAGGGACTTGTGCGGCAGCAAGAAGATCCCCAACGATAAGATATTCACAGCCATCGCCTCCATGTTCCCCTACAAGGGCACGACGGAGGAGCTGAAAGAAAAGTAAGTAACGTGAAGGGAAGTCCAGAGCGTCTGAGCACAAAGCTGAATAGAGCCGTTGCTTGGTTTTCACCATGGAGACGAGAGCTGTCAGGGAGGTAAAGTAATAAAGGTGGCT